CACATCTTAAAATCATGTTCTACGGTGATCCAATCAGCAATAACTACCGATGAAAAATTTATAAGAATGTATAATAATAAACCTTTCTTCATAGTAAAAGAATTTTGAAATAATTTTTTTTCCCTTGTCGAAATCTCGAAGACCTTATATATAACCCTCGGAAAAAATTACAAGATCCACTTGCCTTTAATTTTATTTGATTTTTTATTTTTGAACTTTATAAAATGTCGATCTTGTCCAAAACATTCATTTATTTATTTATATGATGCATCTCACTAAACCACAAAAGTCCGAAATTTTATATCTTTATTATATTTGTAACTAAATTTCTAATTTCAACCGATCTAAACTTTAAAAAAACGAGACAAAGTAATTAGTAATTATTAATCTCCGCGGTAATGAACCGAACCTTTCCGTCCGATAATTCGTCCCGTTCTTGACCAAATAAAGAAACTGAACTGATCTAAAAAATAAAAATAAAAATGAGAAAAAAAAAGAAATTGATAAAGTGAACAATATAAAAAAAATAATCAAACCTTGGCCACATTCGCTGCGGTGATGATCCGTTCAAAAATCTGTCGAAAAGGAACTGATCTAACCTAAAAAGCTAAGGGAAAAAAGGACGGCCAGTCTAGTTTAGTTATATAAGAATATAAATTGATATTAAAATTTATATATTTAAATAGGTAAAACCTTGAAGTTTAGAGTTTGGATGCGATTAGTTACTATCGCAGTTATCGCAGCCAAAAAAGTTAAGATAGTCCTTTGTTCACAATTATTAATGAAATGCCTTTTTAATCAACCATTTTAAAGACTTATGATGTTATTAAATTTTAGATAATTTTGGAAATTAAACCATCAGTCTTACAAAGTTACGCACTGCATTTATTTTCCATTTGTCTGAATAGTGCCAGTTGTGAACATGGATTTCCTATTCGTGGATGGTTATCAAATAAGAGACACCTTCAACTTGGTGTAGTACGATTAGAATCAATGGATATGTTGATTTCATATTATAGATCTTGAACTTTGATTTTATGGAAAAGCAATCATCAGCATTAAATGATACTCAATTAATATTGATACCTTAGCAGAAGGAGTTGATGAGGAGGAGGATGATGATGATGACGATGTACAAAGGACAACTATTGGCAATCATATAATTACTAATCATGAAGTAATGATTTTTATTGAAAATTCATCAAATAAAATTATTACTAAGAATTGGCTTTTAATAGATGATACAGATGATTTGGATGAAGAAAACATTGAATTGGGATGAAACTATTGAGTTGGATGATGAGCTGGAAAATGTGTGATTGTAGATTATGTAGTAAAAGGATTAGTTGAAAATAATAATAATTAATATTATATTAAGAATATAATTATAATAAAAATAATATTTTGAATCCTTTTATTATTATTATTTGATTAAGTTGCAATAAAAAGTAATTTGTTATATATTTGCGTGATGTTCTAAGTTACCATTATAAGTAAGTCACCGTTATTGTAAAACATTATTGATCAACAAATCGCTCGATTTGTGATTAACTGATTGCTTATTTTGGCAATTTTGGCAATTTCGGCAAAATTTTTTTACTGATATTAATTTCGTACAATCTTAATAATTTCGGCAATTTAGGCGATTTCGACATGCCGAAATCGGCATTTCGACATATTTTAATTCCCCAATTATCATCTCCAAAATCATCAGTAAGCCGTGATTTTTTATAAACCTTCCATTATTATTTCGCTCTTGCTTTTGGATTGAATTTGTCGTTTGGATAGACGAGTCATAGTTATTATCAATCTGATGCTGTGAAAATTCCATCATTTACATGTGAAAAATTTTATGTTTACATGCCGATTCTCAGTCTGAAATTCTTCTTTTTGAAAATCTTTTTGAACTTCAAATCAAAATAAAGAAAATATTGATTATTTTGTAAAAAAATAAAACCTTTAGAAATAATAAGCTCATCATATTTTATTAATCTATCGGTTTAATTTTATAGTTTATTGCTTTTGTCCTGATTTATAAATAATTGAAGTCATATGACATTTTTTGTGGTTTATAAGTGACATGCACCATATATATGTATATATTTTTTCAACAAAATTATTTTTTTATCATCGCGCTCAATATTCAAATCCCATTGTTTAAAAAAAAAAATAAGTTAATAAACTTGCGAGTCTGATTTTAATCCTATGAAATATGCATACTGATGATCGATCCTGGTGTTAGACACTTTCCACTTTCTTTCTTCAAACCTATCAAGTAATCAATGTTTTAAAAAATATAAAATTGTTTTGTAGAATTGAAGAATTTCTGGATCACATAATGGACGTTTAAAAAATCTTAAGAAATTTTCAGGAATCTATACAACAAGATGTGGAAAATAGAAAGTTGTTGAAATCAAAAACATTGATGAATAATCACGACACGTTAGGGTGGTCGATGAACTAATTGAATAAATACTATGTATGATATTATTATTAATAGATTTTTCCGTAATCAATAGATTAAAGTTTATTTATATGTATTGTATTCTAAACTTCCATTACTCTGAACATTTACTGTACATAACGTGTGCATAAAAATTTTTTTTTTTTTTAGCGCCGATCATTAGAAATAATTACAGCAATTCAAGAAAAATGATTATGAATGTCATTCTTCTTTTTAATGAAACAAATAATAAAATATTGGCATGAATATATAATTTAACTTTTCATATTATAATTTAAAAGGAAATTCGAAATCTTTAAGTTAACAATAATAGCCAATTTCAAAGAATCAAAAAAATCTTTTTCAAACTTTATTTCCTCGCTTTCCTTCAATGCCGCTCCAGTAAAATACCCAAATTATGAATCCTACCCAAAGGAGTTCTCCATTCCAATTATACGACCTTTTTTACGAGGTTAAAAAATCCTAAAACATCCAGAATCATACCCAATTGCAGAATAAGGTTATCACCTCGCTGAATCATGCCCAATTTCAGAATCCTACTCAATTGCTTAAGTCTAACCGATTGAAAACATTATTCATAACCCATTGATAAATTCTTTTTTATTTGATAATTAATTCATTCATTTTAATTGTGATATTCTTATAATTACTTCCTTTTTTCATATTTAATGATTTAAATATAAATTTTATATATTATTATTATTGAAGTTAAAAGGTAAAAGTAATTTTTTTTATATTAATATAACGAAATCAATTTTAATACATAATTTGTTTAGTTCAATTCATAAACATTACAAATTCAATATGCATTTAAGTAGACTACAATAAAAACTTCAAAATCGATCATCACTAATTACTGTATATAAATATTTATTTATGTATGCAAAGGTTGCAGATAAATTGCAATCGAACTTTAATTTGGCTTTGTAATCAATGCCGCCAGACATGTTTATCAAATTAAATTTTAAATTTCTTCAAACGCACATTTAAAAAATCTAAAAATAAATAAAATAAAATAAAAAAATTTAAAAAAAAAATTTAACGTTAAAAAAAAAAAATCAAAAAAAAATTTCCCTTTTATAAATTTTCACTAGGGTGTTTATCTTTTGATAAGCATGACTACGATACAAAGTATCGTATCTTTATATGAAGTTGGCTGTTTCTTTCCTTTTTGCAATTATAGTATTCCTTCTTTGGCCACTTCATCCGTATTTTTCTTAAATTAGAGTTTATTTTTTTATTTTAAAAAAATATTTAATATGTTTTCTTTATGTATTTCGATGATGTCTTGAGGTTATTTTTTATTTATTTTATTATTTAAATTTATACCCCATTATATTCGTTTGCACATTCTTTTTTCACCTCAAATGAGCTATCACATTTGATATGTGGTGGTTCAAGTATTATTTAACCTGAACGAAGCTTGCCACCTCTACGCGGTGACGGTTATAGTTTTAACTATGTCTGGCTAAACGCAAGCATTTAACGTCCTTTTAAAAGTTGCAATTGCTTAATAATATTCAATAAAACTCAACTGTTTTGAAATTACAAACTCTGTCAATAAGCGAACAATTATCAAAGAAAATATTCCCATCTAATTAAAAGAATAACTAATTTCGATGTGCATAAAGTAAGTCGCAATATTTTTTTTTATTAATCAAAAAAAGATTTTAATTTATAAAATTTTCTTTTTTTTCTGAATACAACAGCCGATGAACAAAATTCGAATAGCAGGAATACCTGGAGAGTTCCTTCTTCACCAAATTTAAAAGTGCAAAGCGTGCTTCAGCTACAAGTTTTGCAAGCATTTGTTTGGAAAGTTTTCTTGTTGCTATCTTACAAGACATTTGTGCACTTTTGAGAAGCGTAGCGCAGGAAATCGATAATCCGTTTGGGGCTTTTTTTGCCGCTTGTGCTGCGGTACTCGTCAGTTGTATCGAAAGTTTGAATTTCTAAGTAATTTTATTATCATTATTGTTATTAATTAATTATCTTCGTTGTATTTTTTAGCAATATTTAATTTTTATGCGGAAAGTCATTCTTGGAATCTGTAAGAATTCTTTAATCTTTAAAGTTCTAATTACGAAGATTTTCTAATCAAATGAAAATATAGGCAAAGGTGAGCTGATCTTAATTATTTATTTTGTTATTCTAAACCTTGTCTAATTTTCTTTTCCTTTTCAGAATACTTGGAAATTAGTCAAAGATCGTGGTATTGAAGCAATTATAAATGATTATTTAATTGGTAACGTCTTTGATATGGGTAATTATTTATTTAAATGTTTAAATTTTGGAATATATTTTTTTTTCATTTAACAATTGAAATTTAATTCGTTTAGGTGCATTTGTGGGAATTATCACGGCATTATTAAGTTATTTGTACACACATTATATTTGAACTTTCATTTAATCGTAATATAGAATTTACTCCCTTGATTGTTCTCCTGGGATTCATCGTTGTTTTCAAATGTTGAATATCATTAGATCGAGTGGACTGCTACTACTTTTGTATGCTTAGCCGAAAGATCCAAATGCTTTAGCTAGAACCAATCCGAATTAAATAAAGAGGTATGTTTTATTGAAGAAATTTAATTTTGCCAATAAATTAAAAAATTTTTAATGGTAATTTTCTTTTTTTTAGATTCGTATCACATATCTTAGATTAGTTACCGAAATTTAATTTTTAATGGAGCGCTATTTTTCACATTTTCGTTATATTATTTATTTATTCATGATTATAATTAGATAAATTATTTAATCAGTAATTTTTCAAAAAGCCTTAATTCCAAGGTTATTTTGTAATCTAACCAAATTTTGTCAATCTTTTTATTTTAAAGTTTTAATATTTAGAGACATCAACTTTTTCATAGAAATTGCGGAGGATTAGTAACTAGTTAAAATTGAAACGTTTATATGCATTAAAGTGAATTTTTTTTCATTTTTGCAGAATGAATCACTCGTATCATTTATCAGATAGATTTACTTAACCCCTAACTCTGTTCTAATAATATGAAATTAGACATGATTGTGGCTGAACTCTTTTGGGAATTGTTTAACAAGCTCAATTATATCAAAGCTTTGGTATGTTATCAAATTTTTTTAATCCAAATTTTTGGTTTGTCATATATATCTTAATCAATTTAGGAGTTTTACGTGACGTGATTTTGATTGGTCCGAATGTAAATCAAGTTGGTGAAATGAGATGTCGTGTTAAATAGCACGAATATAGCTCACTAACTAACTTTTTTTCAAGCAAAAACTAAAAGCATTGGCTGATGAAAATAATTTTATAAATTAGTTCACATTTGGTACGGCTGACGACCTCTAAAAGTTCGTTAATGCTTCCGCGAGAAAGCATTAGGTTATGGTTAACGTAATGACGTGTGTTTATTCTACACTTTATTATAACACTTTTTTTTTGATCTATTATAATTGACCTAGGATATACAGGCTGGAAAACTCCTTAATTTGTTAAAATATAATCCACTTTAATAAAATTGAATACTTTTCACTTTTATTGTGACATTGCATTGTTAATCCTGGAGATAAGGAAATTTTGAAAATTATAGCCTAGGTGGTGATTTTCCATTGCCGGTATTTTTTTTTTTTTTTTTAAAAAAAAGGGAAAGAAGTATGCTAAAAGAAAAAAAACTTTACTTCTTTTTTATTGCGTTTCATGTAAACAGATTTTGATACGCAAAACCCTGTATGGATCAATTGGTTGGTCAAGAAATTCAAGAAATCGATTTCGATAGTGTACGTAAAGATCATTTGACATAGTCGTTATGGACATTATACTAATTGTCTGTCTCATACAAGTTCATCGTTAATATTAATCGAAGCATTGATAGGTAGCATATTTTGCTTTTATTAAAGACATCACCTCTCTAATTATGGCAAAAATAATCCAAATAGATGTTATCTTATACAAGGAAACGGAAGATGCTGTAAGATGTGAAGAAAAGATTACTATTAATGGATCTTATAATGTCTCGGTTTAAATTGAAGGTGAAGGATTCAAATGGTCTTATATGGTAATTTATAACTTGACATGATTAAAAGATCTATCTATTCACCATTCACTCTTTTTATAAAATAATAAAGACCGAATCGAAGTTTGTACATTGATGTCCAAAGTTTAGTCATTTACATCTCGTTATCAAAATATACGAAGAACAATTTTCTAACGCGAAGATGCTATGAATTTTGAAATTGTGTGCTGTATAATAGATATTAGTAATTAATACATTTTCATATTTAGAGAATTACACGTAAAAAAATAATTCCCGTGGAAAATTTAATATTTTTAAAAACGGGTAAATTGAATTAGTTTTTGTAAAATTGTAAATGTATAATTAAAACGGCACATACAAATTTTTTTATGCGTTGAAGTAAATACTGTCTAGTCGATTTTCTACATTATACGATTATAGGATAAAAGTAGGGTAATTTCAATTTCTGGTACCTTTTCT